CCAACTCTGCAGAAACATAGATCTTGAGTTCCCATGTGGACAAGAGTGGAATATTTCCCACTAGGCTTTCTGACAAACTTATCTCAATGATGAATTTGAAGATCCAAGAGTCTGTGCTTTTTGTAGAGAGTTCCAAATCACTGTTGGCTAAGACCCCGTATGCTGTTATCTGTGGAGGCTTCATGTAAACTGGCTAAATTCCACTGTAAACAGTCAGCACTGATAGTAAGCCTGCTAACTTAATCTATGATTTCACGGTGCTAATTGTATGATAGCCGTTCTGTCTTTCCTCTGACAGGCAGGTCATCGATTTGTAAAAGATTTTAAATATTAAAACATTTACTTGCAAACCCATCTATATTGATAAAGAAATGATTTGACATTTTGTAAACATGCTTATCCACTTTCTTGCTGAGATTTACATGGGAAGATCGATACCACTCTCATGTGTGTCCATCAAATATAAGACTACAGAGAGCCAGTTAGCTTAGCTTAGCATAAAGACTGGAAACAGGTGGAAACAGCTAGCCTACAAAACCTCAGAATCGTGTCGTTACCGCTATGCTAGGGAACCAGAGGAGCTGTTACCTCCAAGTTTACAGTGTTTATGCTAAGCTAAGCTAATTGCCTGCTGGCCGGAGCCACACACAGTATTTAGTGTACGGACTTGAAAATAGTATTGAGCCTCAGATTCAATGCTTGGCAAGCAAAGCTTTTTTTAAACAACGAACTATTCCTTAAGCAAAAGATGAGCATACACTTTATTGAATGTCTTTACCGTAAAAAAGTCTCTCTTTTGCATTAAAAAATATCTCACAGGGAGAGAAGGCCAAAATATACTAGTGCTCATCTACTACAACCCTTATAAAAAGCAAAACAATTTTTCATTCAAGGACTCTATGATGTAAGAAGATAGCATATAAACACTAGATCTTGGGGACACACACACACACCCACACACACACACACACATTAAGACCAAAGAATACAGGAAATTTAGTTCCTAAAGAGCTTTTCTGAGCAAGTACTTGGCGACCTTGTTCCCTTAGTGTATGTCTAGGAGCATGGTACGCATCCTGTATAGACACAGCAACTTTTTTTCGCAAGAAATGAACTGTGTGAACCGTGTCTCTGTCTCACACGCTTTAAAAGTGGGCATGGGCCAAAATCAAATAAACTGAATGAAGGGGCCTATCTTTCACGCATACTGTACTAGTGTGCATCAGCAAAGCAATCGGGGTGCAGCCATGGTAGAAAGAAACATTTTCCATGTGACATTAAAGAAAAATGAAGTATGCAAATATCCCACCACTAAGCTTCTACAGATGAAAAAGGGGGGCTTGTGCCATTAGAGTGCCTCTACAGTAAACTTGTCACTGCTTACGCTCACTGCACTATTCACCTGTGTTGACTCAAGTCAACATAGATTAGATTAGTTACCATTTCAGCCAAAAGGTACACACGGTGAGATCCGTTTATGTGGCAGTGCGCCCCATATTTGCAAAAGATAGCCTTATCTCATGGTGATTTAGCATCGAATATGAACTACTCTTGCTGTTATTTGTTGCAAACTTGTATTATATTACATCGTAACAATGGTGAGGACATTTTTTAAAGAGGTAACAACAGAGATGTAGGTTGAACAATTAAATTCAGCAATTGTTTCTTGGAAGCGGTTTGAACTGTGCAACATTTCATGAGCGCATCATACTCTCTGCATACAAACGTATTCTTAAAAAAGTTCCTACAGCAATCAGATTTGATGAAGTAAATGTATGGTGGAAATAAAGAATATACACATTCACTTTCTAATTCTTAACCAGCTCAAACAAACTCCCCTCACCCCTCTCCCAGCACACACACTCATTTCCCAGACACACACGCACACACACACACACACACACACACACACACACACGCACACACACACACACATACCTCTACAGCAGTAATCCCACCAGGTTGTTGGGTTCTATGGGGGTCAGCGTTTATCGGACGCAGCTTTTATTTGGGCCTGATTACATTCGGGCACAGTCATCGCATGGCCTCTGTCGGCAGGGATAACGTTCATTGGGGTTGGATTTGCGTCCGCCTCACTGGCTCCATTCACTGGGCCCGGCACAATCATTTACAACTGGCAGACCTAACACCTAACCCACAGAGCCGGGCCAGCCCAGTCAGCAAATACACCCCCTCACCCCTAGCATTCATAGCAGGGGGAGAAAAATGAGAGGAAGGGTGAGACAAAAAAAGAGATAGGGAGTAGTAAAGAGGCGGAGGGAGAGAGTGGGAGACGTGTGTGAGCAGCTCCTGCATTTTGGGTTCATAGGGATAGAAGGACATACAGAAAAAAGAGGGACTGTGTGTGTGTGTGTGTGTGTGTGTGTGTGTGTGTGTGTGTGTCTGTGTGTGTGTGAGAGAGAGAGAGACAGAGAGAGAGCGGTAGAGCAAACATGGCTTTTCATCACCTGATTGGCCAGCAGCTCTTTTGAACCAAAGCCGTTTCCGCAGCAGTGTTTTGAGTTTTTGCCCCGATGGCCTCTGGGGCAGACAGTGGTGGGCCGTCAGGGCTAGCAAGGCCGTCTCTGCTGGCCTAGACACTGACAGATTCCTAAAGTTAGAGCTATTTTATAATTTAATGTTTTCTAGATATTTTTCCCATTAGCTTATTATCTCATTATCATACTGTCTTCCTCAGTTGCTCTGCTTCCAGCGCAGCTTGTTTTAAGGAGAGCTTTTATCCAATCAGATTTCGCCCCTATACTATCTCTAAGTAAAAAGATCTGCCCGGAGGCCTTCAGAATTACAAGTGAAACCCTTTATCAGTTTAAGTAAATGGGGACGATATTGTTGATTGTCATAGTGTTCAACCAATCAGATTTTTAGTTTGACATGTTGGGCGTATTCTTTGACATGTCAGAGCCATCTAGCTGGCCTACAAGTACGTCAGCATTAACGTGCGGTTGATTGATCAGTGGGCTAGCGTGACTGTTGTGAAACTAGCTAGCAGAACTTTGTAGTAGTAAGAGTTAAAGTTTAAAGATATGCAAAAACTTTTTACGTGACATTACATTTTTTGCATTTTGGCATGTTTGGTGGTGACAATCCCAATATCTGCCGCCCGTGTCGAGCGGACATTTTCAGCCCTCAAACGCATTAAAACGTATTGAAGAAGTACAACTGGGGAGACTCGACTGTCATCACCGGTGTCCGTGAATCGAGAAGGAGCTCTCGCTGGAACTGAACCGCACCGATGTACTGAACAACCGTGGGATTAAACTCTTTGTAATCAAAGAAAGGAGGATGGACTTTGTCTTTAAATAGTGAACAGCAGCTTTGGAAAGTGAACTGCTTTTGTTTTTTTTACATCTGCAGTAGCGTTACTACTGTGTTCATTTTTTTATTGTGTTGTTTTTATGACATGCTTAATATTGTTCCCTCTGATGTGAATAATATTTATATGGTGCCCTCGAGTGTGTGGCGGAATGCGTGTTTTAGCAGTTTCCGCAGTTTTGCTGGAATATGCAGAGGCCTGTTGAATCGTGTTATTTGGGTTTTATGTTATTCTACCTGCTTTGTTGTCATATAAATATATGTGACTGGTTCTTGTGAATTTGTTCTTGCCATTGTGTTAATTACATTGATTTTGACTATATGCATTGCCCGTTAATGACGCAGCATCCCGTCATGCTGCTTGACAGACCTGTATCCTTTGTGCGTATTCATATATCTGCACTCTGCAGTTCGTGTATTTGTAGCCCTCATAGGTGTTGAGCTTCATGTAACATTTTATTTCACTTGTCAAATGTTGCAGTATTATGTGAATATGAGGTTTTTACACGAAAAAAATAACAACCCGTAGCTGTGTCATAATGAGGTTATTAGGAGGTGGTTCAACTGTAGTAGGACAGCACTGAAGGCCCAGGTATAAAATACACAGCCCGCCACTGGGGGCAGACTACTAATTTGTCAATAAACTCAGAAATTTGAGATCCATAAATGTGGCTGCTGCAAAGCATGTGCAAAAAAACATGTTATGTGCCTGACCTGTGGAAAGTATGACAAAAAAAAAAGATGCAGCCAGTTTCATATTTGTGCAAATGGTTCTATCATTGTTTAATGCAATATATTTAATTATATTTAACGTATGTATCATTTATTTGAATAGTAAAGGCTATTACTTCTAGTACTGATGGTTGTATTTGATGTGTTATGGTTTTGTGATTTTGTATGAGCCAGCCTCTGCTGCTCTCTTGTGGTGCTACTGAAAATTGGTGTTATTGGAGTTAGGACTAAGAGGGAAAGGCTACATATTTCAACAAACACAACACTTACCTTAATTCTTACATTAATAGTGACACTTAGTCATAATGGACACCTTTTCCTAAATGTTATTCAATAGTTTTATTCTTCATGTGATACTGTTGCTGAACCTGTTCAGTCCCTGCATGGTGTTGTTTATGTCCGTGTATGGCATAACTAAACATTCAAAGGCATACATGGTATTAGATTATATCTGAGAACAAACTGGTTACGCTGAAATAAGTGGACCTACCGGCGTTTTGGATTAACATGAAGAGGTCAATAAAAGCTCTTCAATTGCTCACATTTCCTTAAAACAATACATGATATTTGTTGTGATATTTTTTAAGTATTTATTGTTATTTTTTTGACCAGTGTAATAAATAGTCTTTGTTACTATGCTTCTATGAGAAAGTGAAATTTGGCCAAACCGGAACACACAGGAGGCTCCTTTAAATGGATCATACCATTAATGACAGAAGGGGGGGCTTTCATTATTAGCCATTCCCTCAACGTGATGGTATTCAGCTGATATCTGCTGCAAAAATAAGGCAGACATTTTAATTGTAAATTACACATTCTTTTTATTACATTTGAGTGACCAAAATAGTAAACAATGACACACACTTGGAAATAAATGTCTTACGTTGAGCGCCCCGGAAGTCCCTGCATTTACAAACGCACTTGGCTCGCGCTGTGCTTGTTTCCAGCTGGGAGCTAATGAGTGGGGTTAAGGAGATCTTACCTGACAGCGTAAAGACGACTTAAAATCAGATTTTCCTGTCAAATTAGGCGAGACCGTGAAGCGGGTCAGACATGTTTGCAACAACGACGACAGACAACCGCCGCGATGGCCCTGAGGGGGACGAAAAGTCCTCACAGACAACCGCAACAACGGAGTACTGCGCAAAGTTGCAGCAGTGGATGTGGCAGTATTACTGGGGGTACGCTAACTGGCAGAGCTGGCTTGCTATGTCAGCCTATCCCTTCCCTCCTCCGTGTGGTTTCCCTACGCCGGGGAACAGCGATCAGACACCCGGTGCACACGCTACGACCTCCGGCATTGGGCAGCAGGCTTACGACGCGCTGAACCGGTACAGTTACCCGTATCCCCTCGGTTTCCCTGCATCCTACCCTCATCCAGGTGGCCCCCACACGGAGCAGACCTCCGATACCGATGCCCGGCCAGCCCAGCTGCAGAATGGGAATCCACCTCAGGCAGGTATGGATCCGTTCGACAGGGAGTTGCTGTAGCAGTTAAAGGCCTTAACTCGTCCAAAAGGCTGTTCAGCATGCAGATATATGTGTGGGCTTTAGGCGTAAGCTAGGTCATGGGTCTGATGGGAAGCAGGCTTATTTCAGTGTATTGCCCTGTGGACACAAGCTTATACGCTTGGAGTCATACCAAGGTCTTTCTCAATGCTTTGTTAACCTCTGAGAAGTCCAGCAGACCTACAGTCAAGGTTGGACTAGTGTGTGCCATTTTTAGAAATAAAAGGATTCTCAGTAGGCTTGTCTTTTCATCTGCTTCACACAGGACGGGAGTACACCATCCCCTCTCCTCTCCTGAGGTTCCTCGCTGAGACAGTGGACTTCTTTATCCTGTTTTGTGTGAAAGCCACCATTGTGCTGTGGATCATGCATCTGAGTGGAATGAAGTGAGTGAAACTATTGAACACTGTTCAGGGGAAAGGGATCATTCCACAAAAACAGCCTAAACTAGGCTAACCGGGCCCTGGTGTTGCTGTGTGTCGGTTATGCAACATACTGAACTTGCGCGACCAAAGAGTTTGCATCATTGCTTTAAGGCCAAGCCGTTTTCAACAATGCCCTGATCTTCACTGTCTCTCCTCTTTTTAAAGGGACATTACCACATTCATCACCCACTTCATTGTGGAGGAGATAGACGAGAACACGTCCATGGAGGACCTGCAGAAGATGATGGCTGTAGCTCTCGTCTACAGGGTGCTAGTCTGCGCCTACGAGGTAAGTCACATTTTGCACTGTTTTGACAAAGGTGATATAGATCTAATATGCAGCATTTAAGTTATTGAAAAGTCACACGTCAAGCTGTGTAGTTCATGTTAATTAGCTGCATGGTCATTTTTCTTTAGCTTGTCAGTCATGGTTTTGTGTTAATTAAGATGGCAAAATTGGGTATTGCAACGCTTGATAATTCACCAATATTGATATATTGCCCCAAATTAATTTCACATTGATCCATTCGTACATTCAGTAACATCTTTCAAGTTGACAGGGAGGGAACATTCACCATTTTTGTAGTTTTTTACTTAGTTGATATTCTTACTGTTTATTACTTATTTATATTACTTGTTGCTCTTGTTTTCTTTACCCTATCTTGTGTGCACTGTCCACTTTGCTGCTGTGATCCTGTGAATTTCCCCACTGCGAGACTCATAAAGGATTATCTTATCTTATCTTATATTGTCCGTTCACATTCTGTATGAGCTGCCTCATTTGACACGTGCTGTTGTTTAATGTGAGGAGTCGGGCACAGTCGGAGTTCTTCTCCAACACAACATTACCTCCCACAGAGGACAGTGATGCAACGTTGCGTTCATACTTACCTGAGATGAAGTCATGGATCGTGTGTCTTGTTCGACTCTGGCATCAGCGGCTGGTTTTCCCTGGTGGGAACCAGCCTTGGGACATTCAGACACCTCGGCTCACACTAATGCCATCTGGCAGGTTTCCTTCCATCCAAGCTTTTGACCTTTGTCTGTACAAACCTGAAAAAATTGCAAACTGTTTACATTTTGTCCAATCAGACCATCTGTATTTGGGGCGCTGGTGGGGCCACACCGGGGAAGTTCCTGCTCGGCCTGCGGGTGGTGACGTGTGACACATCCACTCTGGTCCGACCAAACAGAGTCCTCGTGGTCCCGGCTTCTAAAGTCTCCCTCTCTGCGTGAGTGATCGCGTGCTGGATATTAAAGTTAAAGTTGTATCCAGTAGTCTCTGTTACCTGTTACCTGTGTGAGAATTCTAACTCTGGTTTTGTTTTGTCTCAAACATTCGCAGCTCTACAGTGCGGGCCCTCAATAAGAACTTCTCCATTGCTTTCCTCTTTCCCGTCTTCATCACTCTCCTCTTCTTCCAGCACAACAGGACTGTGTATGACATTGTGGCAGGGACCATTGTAGTCCAGCGCAGAGGGGGCAGATAGCCTCTCCTCGGGCAGCGCACACTCTCTCATATTTGACAAGAGTAATGAAAATGGCGCTACAGGCCCGTTTGTGCCGAGTGTCTTTTCAAAGTTAAACCGGTCACAAATGAACTACCGACAAAAGCGATGCACTGGCCCATTTCTTCACTGGATCAAACAAGGACTGCACTTTAAAATTCGATGCGTACGGGTTTAAGCCTGGTTTGCTGGAATCAAAAGAATCCCGCTTTACATCTTTTGGTGTGAGTGTCTTTTTTGTTTGTTTTTACCACAGAATCAACAAATAAGCTGTCAGGAAACCCTCTTAAGTATTGTGATTTTTGCAAAATATGTTCAGCTGTAAAGGGTGCTGTCTCATATGATGTGAATCTTTAAAATATGTGCTATGTCATAATATACTGCTTATTTATTTTTGTGACTTTAAAGTCTTTTATTTGTAGGGTTCAATTATTCATCTTTTACAAACAGAAACATATGCCATCAGAACAATTTGACACATTTTTATACTCGCAACAAGAGTTCCACACATAAGGGCTTTACATTTTAAGATTAAACATTATTAGCTTCTAAAAGCAGCATTGTTCTTTTATGCATTGTTCTTTTCTTCAAGGTAATAATGGCGAATCAATTGTTTGGTTTGCTAATAATTCTTTGTTTTACGTTTTAATTATTCTTAAGCACTCGGACTGAGGAAAAATAATGCCAGGCTTATTTGTACCTGTTCTTTGTGCCTTTTAGATATGCTGATGATGAAGTATTGGTTTGTTATTTGAAATGGGGCGATAACTTTTCTCCCCGGTCTGTGTGGTTCAAACAGAAGAAATGGTGTTCGTGAATCCCCTGCTCATATATTCTGTCTTCAGACTTGTGACTCAGGGCAACCTCTGATTGTCTGATCTGCACTATTGAACCATATACTGCTCATGTCAGATTTCCACTCAATATGCATTATGTGAAACTCTTCTGGTGTTAACGATTGTCAATGATTTATCCTCATGTTATAATGTTCAGCAGTCCAGAGTTTACTTCAACCCGCAGTATGGCTACTGATTGTTAGTGGTGCATGAGTTATGTGGGATGTTGACGCTGCAATCATATTTGGTACTTGGCCTCAAAGATCCATGTCTTGAAAGACAATCTAATTCAAATATTTGATCAAAGAACACTTTTTTTTTTTGCACATGAAATCTAAATAACCCAGGAACATTTTTGATAAAACCTAAACAACAAAAGAACCTTTTGATCTAGCATTTACAAAATGACACTGAACACCACTTAGGCAAGGTGAGTTTATTTGTATAGCACATTTCAACAAGGCAATTCAAAGTGCTTCACATAAAAGCATCAAAACATAAGGCAAAAGAAAAGGAGATTTAAAAACCATTAAGAACATTCATTGAATAGTCATTAAAACACTAAAGAGCAGTGTAAGAAATAAAATACACTTAGGAGGAAGCTTTTGAAGATTAAATAAAATATTCCATGTAAGCTCTTTTCCAAGATTCTCATTCTAAGACTTTTGTCCCCTTACTTAGCTTAAATGTAATTGATGTACTTGTTTGGTCCTTGATTACAAGAACACAAGTGAGGAACACGTGAAGTATTTGAGTGTGTGATCATAGTGCAATGTCCAGTGAGTATTGACTACTTTAATCTAAAACAGCAGGTGTCCTGTTGTTGCCATTGGGACAAAGTTTCAGAGGTCAGCAAGTTAAAAAAAAAGGGCTGATTTAGCGAAAAAAAGTAAGTGACAGGATTTTCAGAATATATTAAGAAATCAATTTCCTTTGTCTCATGCCTGAGAATGTGGGAGATATAGCTACTGTGCAACATAAATGCAGGATTAAAGGGATTAGCTTTACTTAAACACCTGTAAAGGACATTACACACTCTGGTGCAACCAGCACCTTGTGTGCACCTTAATGTCAGCATTTGCCTTTAAAGGCATCTTTTAAACTGACTAACTATGACAAAAGTCATCCAAACTAACCAACCTCCACTACAAAGATGCCATTCAATTTACCGTAGGAATAATATGTGTTCGCATTGATAAATTCCTAATTTTTGTTCTTTTTTTTTCCATGATTAAAGGAAAAATGTAGATGTTCAGTTCAGACGTCTTGCATCTTTTAGTTTGACTGTTCTCCACAGTTGCTGCAACACTTGTTGCCACATGGGGGCGACATTAAGCAACAAAGATCGATGCACGTGGCCCAAATACAAGTGGACGGAAATAGACCTCAGATACTGGATGTTGGCATTCATTTCCAGAGATATTTTTTGCACATAATCTTTATGGAATGGTAAAAAGCCCGGCCTGTCTTTTCACTGATGAATACATAACTTTTATTGGAACAGAGCAAAAACACATGCTGGCTTGCACAGATATATTTCTGCAGTATACCTGCCACCTGTCTATTTGTCACATTGACAAGACCGACATGACAGCCTCTCCTTTTGATCCTCACACGACATTTTCATTCCTCTGTGACATCTCAAAGCATCTTTGGGTTGCTGACATCTACACACTAGAGCAAAAAACTATACCTGTATATGAGAAAGTGTTGGGCTACAGGCCATCCAAGGGGATTTACCTGGACGAAGAATGATGCAACTTGTTGACGATGCTCTATTAACTACAAGTCACACGGTTGTAGTAAAGTAGGTGCATAAAAGAATCTTATTGTTATTCACTGTGTGTGCTTTTCTACATTTGGAACAATTGATTTTATGTTGTAGCTTGTGGTGCTTTTTCAACTTTTAAACCCTCAAATCTATATTTCAATGGAGTATTAAATGTATAGGCATCATCAGATTTACTATTGATTTAGCAGCTTGAGATATACGGTGGCATTGGTTAAATTGACCTTACATATTTGTTCTGGTAGTACCAGTGTATCGCCTCCTCACATATCAATAAACTTTTTGAAATTTGATTAAAGGACTGAGATAATTAATATGTTTACTTACATGACAAGCGAGCTGTCGTTCCGAGGCAATTTAGTTCAAATAAACTGATGCATAACTTCAGTTACACTATTTCAATTTGTTTTAATTTCCAGTTCCAAAGTGCTGTGGAGTTTAATTTGTATGAGCCGTGTTCTTGTAAGATTAGCCAGGGGCATATTTTGTCTCACGGTCCCAGTAGGAAGACACAGCGTTCGTTCAGCTCTCCCCAGAATGGTAGGTTTTTAAATAGCAACCATTAATCCTCATGAATTAGTAATTATCACCAGTCTCCTGCCAACTTTCTCACTCCAACGTGCGCACAAATGAAACAATGAAATCAAACTTTTTCTTTCACCAGCGCTAGTCTTTCTAGTTTTGTTCTCTTGAGCAGTTTGTGCAGCGTGTCATGGCAGCCTTGTTGTCTTCATCTGTACATTTCTTTGGTGTCTCCCCCTTTTTTTCTTTTACATTCCCTCCGAACCATTAGGCGTTTAGGGATCATCCTGCTTGCACCTACACCCACATGTGTGGTGTGAAGTCAATGAGGTGTGGTAGAACATATGTAAATGCAGTTTCTGAATTATAAATGTGTTACATTTTCCATAAATGTAGAGCTTGCAGAACTTAGATATGAGTAAAAAAAAAAGTATTAAACTCCCTAAATGGCTTTGAGGCAAGCAGGGGAAAAAAAGACTATCCAAACATTTTGTCAGCCATTGTGCCTGTTTTAAAAGTTCATCACAGCATTTTGTCCTTCAGTAGCAAGTTTTTTTGTGCTGCGAGTCATGAGTTGTTCTCTGTGCCAAAGAACTGAGAGAGGGGCTTAGCAATAATTATGCCTCGAGTGGCTCTAATACAAATTTCACAGGGAGACCGAGTGGAGAGAGAGAAAGCAACAGAAAGTGTGAGATGCAGAAAGGGATTAAGAGAGAGACAAAAGCCCAAGAGGGAGGAAAGGATTGAAAAAGGGAGTTCAAAATGAGGAAAAAAGGGAGAGGGAAAATGGGAAGAGAAGTGGCGGAGGAAAGGGAGGAAGTGAGGAAGAATGAGAGGGAGCGAGTGTGAGAGGCTGAGGGACACCATGCTTGAAAATTCTCTCTGATCTTTGAGCCGTGGGACCAGAGGCGATGGGATACCCTGCAGAACTCTATTAAAATTCATCCAGCCTCACTAAAGCTCTCAGTTATTATACAAGAGAAGCCCTGCACAGCTCAGCTTTCTCTGTTTTGCTCTCTGTCACATGCTCACAGCATGCACAAGACAAACAGATGCACACAACACACATAACCAACGTTGTCTTCACCGTCAAAGACACCTGAGGTTAGCTGACAATGCTTTTGAACCAGGTCCCAACCTCAAGGTCTGAAAAGTGAAGCCAATGCCAAAGTGCATTCAAGTTGCCTTGTCTTTAACTGCCAGCAGGGGGGGGGGGGGGGGTGGGGGCAAAGAGAAGTCTGATGGCATAGAAGTCTCTAAGACAGGGGTCACCAACCTTTTTTAAACTGAGAGCTACTTCAAGGGTGTCGAGTAGTACGAAGGGCTACTTATTTGATACAAACTTCCTGAATAACAAAGTTGCACAGATCACCTTTTAATAATAATAATATATGTGAAGAGACTGTTTGATCACATGTCAGTTAATTATTCCTCACAATAATTATTAAGAATGATTTCCACAACAATGATGGTATAGCTACACATACATATTTAAACATGCAACTTTTATTTCTGTTAATCTGTTTCAACATTTGAAAGTCAGAGGTATCACATCTCTGATATTTTTGTATCATCACATGATCAAAGCCGGTTACTTTTGCACATAGCGCCTGTTGGTGAATGATGCAGTGGTAATGTAGACATTTTGGGAAGTCTGGGTCACCTTTGCATTGCGCAATGAAGCCTGCATGCCGGCCCGTCATCGCGGGAGCCCCGTCTGTTATCACCGACACCAGCTTTTCCAACGGTACCTTTTTCTCCACGAAGAAACTAGTAACCAGTCTCGTCTATAGCCGAGCGGGGGATCCAACCCTCCGAGGCGCGCGAGCGTCTTCGGGCGCCCGCGTTCAAACCTCTAGTCTGGGCCTTTTCGGTTGGATTGCGTTGCCTCACCTCTACCCCCGCCACCCCTGAGTTGTTGCCCCGCGGCCTGTTCCGAGGATTTACGGACCTGACGACGGGGTGCGCTCGCGGGCGACTCACGTGGTCCCTGCGGGCGACAGGGTGCCCGCGGGCACCGTGTTGGCTACCTCTGCTCTAAGAAAATGACCCTACTTCTCTCCTGATTTATTACCTCATTAAACATAGTGAACATGAGTTCATGGTCACGAACATAGCTTCAAGTCTTCTTCAATAGCATGATGTTCATTTGGTAAACTATGGTCCCATTTAGAATAAAATAGATAAAGCAGGGCATGCTTTAGGGCGTTTTTGTCTTTAACCCTTTCACAGTGCGTTTTCATTTCATGAATGTCAACTGAAACCATTTTGGTCGCCTTAAAATGTCTTATTCAGCTGTACTTAGCTCCACGCTATCGTTAAATACATGTTTTTTTTAGTTGATGTACAACCTGTGAACAAGTGGGCACCTTTTGAAATAAACTCAATCGAGTGGCACTGTGACGTTTTTGTGTTATAATTTAGCATCACATGTACATTGTCGTAGTTTGAACTTCTTTTTCTTTACTTTAGCAAACCAAACTAGATTTCTCCCGAGGGTGGCTTTGCTGTATAGTTCAACTTCTTCCAAGTCATTGGTAGCTTTAATAAGGTAATTAAGGGAATTGGTTTGCTTTCAAAGTATAGCTTCCCCAACACTGCTAAGTAAAAGTAGAAATGGTTGGTTTGAGTGTATTAACAGATTGAAAACTTGTGTCAAATGATGATGGTATGGCTCATTCACTTATGTCATCTTTCCTAACTACCTTAC